AGGCAGGTGAATTGCCTGAGCTCACAGGTTTGAGAACAGCCTGAGCCAAAGCAAGACCTCGTCTCTAAAAGTAGCCGGGCCTTGTGGCAGGTGCCTGTAGTCCCAGCTACTTGGAAGGCTGAGGCAAGAGAATCACTCGAGCTTAAGAGTTTGAGGTTGCTGTGAGCTATGACACCACAGCATTCCACTGATGGCAACAAAGTGAGACTCTGTCTCAAAAAAAGTGGTGATGATGAAAACAACCATCTTACTAGAAGGAGCTGCCAACACTGAGTCCACAGTATGGCAGGCATTAGTTAAGGACTTTGAGATTTACCTTTCCTTTACTTTTATGTTTCATTGTGTTTGGGGGGGAGTTTTTCAAGGGGTAGGGGTTGAGACAGGGTCTTGCTCTGCCACCTAGGCTAGAGTGTAGTGGTGTCATCATAGCTCACTGCAGCCTCCAACTTCTGGGCTGAAGCGATCCTCCTGCCTCAGCCTCCTTAGCAGCTAGGACTACAGGCACACACCACCACACCCAGCTAACAAGTTATCTTTTCCAACCCTTCAGAATCTCAGGTCATTCTTGGTCACAAGTGCACACTGAGCCTTCTGCTGGGGTAATGAGCTGCCAGAAGCAATGAATATTGTCTTCACAAGTGATCAGATGAGCATCTAGAACATAGAATAGGACATGTTCAACGGCTTAGGGCAGTGAAGACCAGAATATTCTCCTGGGTGAAAGCAGGTAGGGACAGCATAACATGCCACAAACAAAATCAAAGGGTGACTGTCACCTGTTTTTTTTAGTAACTCAGAAACAAGAACATGTCATATGATGTGGGAAATTCATTAACTAAAGCCTTGGCCTCCATAAGCCGCTACTGCTTGTTTTATTGTCAGCACTAAAAGCAGCAAACTCCCCGAATGGCATAAGCATAGTGGAGGTTTAATTTCAACTTTCTGTTCAAAAAAGAGGAAAACTTTAGTAACTAGGTAATATGACTAATATTTTCCAGCCTTAGACCACAAAGTACCAGTGTTTAGAATAAGTCAGTCCTGGTAGGATGTGGGCATGCATGTAGGAAGCCACACCCAGCAACCAGCAATTTATTATGCCTCTGGCCAGTTTTTTTCTAATAACAACACAGCCAATGTTGAAGGAAACAAAATAAACTTACAATAAAAATGTATTTATAGAGCAGTTTCAAGTCCTTGGATTTAGCTAAATTGGCATTACTAGTATATAACCATTCCGTTCTTACCCATTCTTTTCATTATATGCATAGGGCAGCGGTTCTCAACCTGTGGGTCGTGACTCCTTTTAACAATGAAAATACATTGCAGCATTAGGAAGGTTGAGCACCACTGGCATAGGGATCAAAGAGAGTAAACACAAAATGGAGAGAAACAGACCTCAATGTAGCCCCAAATTTGAAAACTCTGTCAATATCTTTTAGATACTAGAGAACATGAAAGATTCCTCTGTAATGATAAATCACCACTCAGCCGCTTCATCACTCTGTAAACTCACACTTATCTCTCTACAAATACACTCATTATCCTCTCCCATCTTCCAAATGGTTCTAAACCAAGGGGCAGTTTTGTCCCCTAGAGTTTGTTTGGTCATGCCTGCAGACGTTTTTGGTTATTATAACTGCACGTGAGCTAGTAGACAGATGCCAGGGGTGATGGTAAACACCCTACAGTACATGGGACAGCCCCTGAAAACAGAATGATTCAACCTCAAAGTCAAGAGCGCCTTGGTGGAGAATCCTGGCAACATCCAGACATGGACGGTCTCTTGTAATTTCAGGAGGGGAACGAGAGGCAAGAGGTTTGAGGGAGACCATCTGCTGCCAAGCTTGATCTTCCATGTTGACAGCTGAGCACACACTTGGAAAATGGTCAGCTAGAAGTAATTCTCCAATTCCTAACTTGGGCCAGAATATGCTGGAACATTAGGCTACTTCACTATTTGTAAACATTACTATGCAACTTCCAGAAACTGAGATTCACACAAAGAATTTGAAGTCTATGAATCAAGCTTTGCAAAAAAAAAAAAAAAGACAATTACTAAGAAATGATAAAGAACAGGTTCCAAAATATTTAAAACTGGGCCATCTCTCTTACAGTTTCTGGAAGACATTATTTTACAAGCTAAAATTAGTCAAAAAAGCACACCCCACATTTATTTCAATGAATCAACAGAGAAAGAGTTATTCTCACAGTTCATAAGGCATATATAATCCTGGGTCGGATTGGCAATGACACCACAGCTACAAATTGTTAACACACTGGGTCATTTTTTAAAGCCAGCAAGCTTTTTTTTCTCTCTTTAAGGAAGTGGTGTACTCACAGGCTCGATTCCGGGTTTTGTAAGTGCACGTGTAGAGGCTGCAGAGCCTTGCTGGCATGCACCTCAGAATCTGGAACTTTCTCCACAGCAATTTGTGTGGAGCTGCTTGAAGAATCCCCCTCAGGCTGTTCATCACCACCATCTTTAGCTTGAAATCTTGATCAGCTCCCGAATAGCTTGCAGGAACCTAATAATCTCGAGGGGGGAGGATAGAAGAGGAAAGACTATAAAACCCGAGAGTTAAGATCTTGGGGAACCCTCTAAGGAGGACAACATTCAGACTAGCAGTACACACCCCGAGGTGGGGGAGGGCAAATGGGAGTCAAGAGTTATTCACTTTTGTTCCTCAAACTCATTTGTCCCCTCTGTGGAGGGAAGGGAGGGTCTTGACCACTGACTCATATGCTTTGCCTGTCCCCTGGGGCTGGCAAATACCAGAGATCCAGAGAAAAGATTCTCTTTAGCCACAGGAATGGAAAAAAAAAACTGTTTACTGTACCGTTTCTGAAAATTGAAAACAAAATCGCTCTCTGAAACCCCAACTAGGTATCCACACCCCACATGGTGTCCACGTGTAGGAAGATGCCCAAGATTAAAGCTGCCTCCAAGCAGCTGGGATAAAAACAGTCATCTGTGTCTAGATTGCTTAAAAAGAACCCAAGATGCATCCTGCCAAAATAGTCCTGGGCGGTTTTGAAATGAAAGCTTAGATATAATCTGTGATTCTTTGCCAGTTTTAGTGTTACACTGGCAAAGGCCCTCGAACATTGGGAAAATGAACAAGGTTACTCCCGAACCCTTTCTACCTCTCACATGTTCTCAGTGACAGTCTCTTCTGAGACTGAGATGATGATTTCAAGGTACTCACTGTGGTGTCCTGACATACTGTAACACTGACTTTAAACGCTTGCCCTCAATCCATCCCCACTCCCAAACTGCTTCATTCACTTTCCCTGAAAGCTCCCATCCCTGTACCATGTGAACAAACATGCTCTAAAATGGAAAAAAAAAAAAAAAAAACACTCTTTTTTCTTGATTACACATTCTTTCCACTATAGATTTTTTTTTTTTTTTTTTTTTTAGTTTTTGGCCAGGGCTGGGTTTGAAACCCACCACCTCCAGTATATGGGACTGGTGCCCTACTCCTTGAGCCATAGGTGCCACCTTCCACTACAGATTTTGAAGTGTGTAGTGTGAGTACTTCAGATGTGTTTAGGCAGCTGTTGGGGACATGATCTGAGCAATCTTTACAGAGTGGTGGCTGCCAGGCCATGTGCCCTGGCCCTACTGAGGTTTCAGCATCATGCCCGCTGGCCACATGGGCTTTACTTCTTCCAACTCCAGCCTGTGCAGATGTTCTTCCTTCCCTGGACCCTCTCCCTCCATCTGGGCCTGGTGAATTTCTACCCTCACTCCAGGTGACGGACTTCCATGTCACTCCCTCATGCTTACCAGGTCAGCTCAGCATTGAATGAAAAATACCTACCAGGAATGTACTTCCTGACACCATCCTCCCCAGCATCTAAGCCCCGTGGTGGTAGGAACCATGTCTGTCTCTGTCGGTTGTTTTGAAACAGAGTCTCACTCTGTCACCCTGGATAGAGTGCTATGGTGTCATAGCTCACAGCAAACTCAAAGTCTTGTGGTCAGGAGATCATCCTGCCTCAGCTTCCTGAGTAGTGATAGAGTCAAATGTAGGAATGCCCGCCACCTGGTCTTACAGGGCTGGGATTCTGCCTGTTTGAATTTTCCACATTTGTTGTCATTTCCTTTGCTCCAGGACTGTATTGGGTCCCGTGGTGCAAAGATGACCAAGAGCATAAAAAGAAGTGAAGTCCCGTCACATGCTGTAATGTGAATGAACTTTGAAAACCTAGTGCTAAGTACAAGAAGCCATCCACGAAAGTCATATATTACATGATTCCATTCACACAAACTACTGAGAATGGGCAGATCTACAGACACAGAAGGCAGAGTCTCAGTGCTAGGGTTTGAAAGAAGGAGGGAAGGGGAGTGAGCACTCACTGGGTGTGGAGTTTTGTGGGTGAAAGCTAGAATAGGCTGACTTTCCCCCCTGAAATCTCCAGCAGGTTATGGCCATGAGTTTCAGGTCCCGCTGTTGCAGTGCACACATGCCTCTGCTGGAGATGGGGGGCGGGGGTTGGAATGTCCAGCAGAGTAGATAAGAAAGTAGTTTGGTGGCCAGCGCCTGTGGCTCAGTGGGTAGGGCGCCAGCCCCATTTACCAAGGGTGGCGGGTTCAAACCCAGCCCCGGCCAAACTGCAACAAAAAACTAGCTGGGCATTGTGGCAGGCACCTGTAGTCCCAGCTACTCGGAGGCTGAGGCAAAAGAATCGCCCAAGCCCAGGAGTTGGAGGTTACTGTGAGCTGTGATGCCACAGCACTCTACTGAGGGCGATAAACTGAGACTTTGTCTCTAAAAAAAAAAAAAAGCTGAGACTTTCCTTCCTTATCTTCACACTGCCCCCCCCAAGTATTCTTTAATTTGCAGCTTAGCACTCCTTGTCCTGCAGCATGAGAACTTTCTTCCCTAAACAAAGAACTGCCTGTTTCATTGAAGCATGAAACTGTTACCTTTTCACTTTTTGCCTTGTAAGAACACGCCCGAAATTTTCTAAATAAATACAGCCCTGAGGCCTGGGCCTGTTAGCCTCGGGAGGGGCTGGCACGGTGTGTGTGCTGTGTGCTCTCACTGGGGTCAGGATACTGTGTGTGTGTGATTTTCTCAGCCCTTCTCTCCCTTTGTCTGCCTGACCCTGGCTTGAGGAGGAACCCCCCCACACACACCCAGTCTGCCAGGTTGCTACAGCGTTTCTTTTTGGGATAATGAAAAATCTTTGGAACTAATCTAGAGGGAGGTGGTGGTTGTACAACACTGACAATATTATCAATGCCACCGAATTGTACCCTTGAAAAGGTTCATTTTATGTTACATAGTTTTACTTTAGCAAGCCAGTTCAAAGCAGAACATTCGCGTATGACTCTCAGCAGTGTGGACATGCTTGCAGGAAAGGCGGGGGAGGAGTGCCGAAAGGCACAAAAAGAGAAACTGAGGAGCATGAAAGACACATTTGTGAAAGCTGATTATACAGACTGGGTCATTCTTGTCACATCGAATAAATCAGACTCAAGGGGTGGGGAGAAGAACTTGATCCCTTGGGACACAGAGCACATGCTCCGAGAATTTTCCTAAAGCCTCGCTGCCGAAACTGCCGGCTGTAACCTGAAAACAGTTCTTGTAATAGCTATGAAACAAGCTGCTGCAGTTCTAAGACTAGTTTTACCCACTGTCACCATACACCGATCAGAGTTTGCCACTTCCCCCCATTATTAGTGCCAATGAACTTTCTTTCAAGACATTTCTCCTTTTTATAAAACGTCCTGCCTTCTCTTTGTTCTTCGGACATACTGAAGACCACCTGGTCTGTGTGTATGTCTTAAATGGCAATCCGTGCTTCCCAAATAAAACATTAATTTAGATTCTTCTCTACATTTTTCACCTTGACACATTTCACTTACAGATCTGAACTTTATTTCTTCACACCATCTTTCCAAGAAGAGTGTAAGATACAACACCCACATCATAATCCCTGGTGCTGCTGAGCAAGGAGGCGACACTCCTCCCCTCTCTGTGCACACCCCTGCTAGTAAGCCACTGTACTGCTGTCCTTGGCCCTGCTCCATCTGAGCCAAAGGGGAGAAGGCTATACCCAAGGGAAAAGAGAGAAAATCGCACCTGGTGAGCTATGTCCAAGGAAAGCAGAAAGCAGAATTATTTCTTGTCACAACCCTTCAAAGAATAAAGGAGGTCTCCAGCAGAGCTATCAACAAGCCATCTGCCCAGACAAGTATTATGGCATGTATCAGTGTGCTAATACATCACTTTACAAACGGACACAAGGAACTCAAGTCACAAGAAAGGGGACTGGTAGGAAGTTAGTGGTTACCACGGAGGCTCTCCACCTCTGCCTAACTCTCTACCTGGGGTCCTTAGGCTGGTAACATCTAAAGTCATCTGCATTGCCCAAAGGTGTTTGAAACTCTCAAACCAAAGTTAAAATCAGTTTGTTTATAGTTTTGTGTGTTGGTGTGCACACATTTTTGAAGGGAGCTTATAAGTTAAAAAGTACCTTATTTAAGACCTGCAAAAGTTTAACTCAATTTCAAACACAGACTAGTAATAAACTTTCAAGGGATTGTCTTGGTCATATCTTGAGCCAAAGAATAGCACCTTGTTTTCTTTTTTTTTTTTTTTGAGACAGAGCCTCAAGCTGTCCCCCTGGGTAGAGTGCCGTGGCATTACAGCTCACAGCAACCTCCAACTCCTGGGCTCAAGCGAGTCTCCTGCCTCCGCCTCCCAAGTAGCTGGGACCACAGGCGCCCGCCACAACGCCCGGCTATTTTTTGGTTGCAGCCGTCATTGTTGTTTGGCGGGTCCGGGCTGGGGATTCGAACCCGCCACCTTAGGTGTACGTGGCTGGTGCCTTAGCCGGTTGAGCTATAGGCACCGAGCCAGCACCTTGTTTTCAAATACCTTCCTTACCTGAATTGACTGAGCTGGCTTATAGAATAAGAGACCATCAATGAGCTCAATTCAGAATCTGATTCTGTGTCAGGATCTGCTTCTGACACCACTTGTCAGGGCACAGGACTGGCCAGGTCTCGGGCCCAACTGAGGTAGGTTCCGGACGTGGACCACTAAGCTACCTTGCTCAGGAACAGTTTCTCTTAGGTGCCTGAGGGCTATCTACTTTAGCTGGAGAGAGAGAGAGAGAGTATCTTACAGTAAAGCAGTCTTCTTAGAACAGATAGATCTTAGTCCTTAGCAGAGCTTGGTAATCTTCAGCAGAGAGACGCCCTGCTGGTGTCCTGCAGGCAGGAGAGGAGACAGAGTCAGAGTAAGCGTGTCCATGATAGAATGCACATACCCCGGACTGCTGTCTCCTCCAGCCTAATATAAGGCTGAGCTCGTGCCTCTCAACACCACAGGTATAGAGACTGCCAATTCACCACTGCTCTCAATCTCGGGAACTCTCTCATGCTAGTTAGAACTAAATCTCTCTCCATGCCCTTTTCACCAAGGTGTTCTGTTACAGGTATTTCTTATAACTCTCACTCCTCCTAGCCATAGGCTATATGGGCTGCTACAATTCTGCTATTTTTCTTTTCTTTTT